GAGGAGTGGGAACGTGCTTCCCCGAGCATCCTTCCCCGAGCATCCCTCCCGGAGCAGGCGGCGGCCGGGAAAATGGGGAGCCCTTCCTTGGTGGGATGGGAGACGTGGGGCTGAACCCTGCGCCTGCAGTCTTGGGGACCCCCCTCCTTTGGTTTCCCTCCCTCCCCAGCCCTGGGTTTCCCTCTCCCTTTCTGAAAGCCGTAGTGTGAGGATGCAGCTTTGCTGCTGATGGTGAGAGCAGGATGACGACAGGCTGCAGCTGAGCGGGGAGGCACAGCCGGGGTGGAGCAGCGCCTTCGTTTGAGCCCGAGACCAAAGCCCTGTTTAATTATCCCGGGAGGAGCAGGGTGCCAGACTTGACACACAGGTCGCAGCCGGGTTTCAGGCCTGGGGCTCTCAGGGACATCTGAGGATGGGCGGGCTTGGCTGGAGCATTGCTGCTCCTGGGGCTCGGCACGCCCTGGGATGAAGCCGGATCGCTGGGCACAGCAGAGCCACGGGTCGATGGTCCCTGTGCGCTCGGTCCTGCTCGCCGAAGGATGCAGGGGCACAAGCGGGGCTGCAAAAGCAGCTCCTTCCCCACTGCAGGGATGTGGGGCAGCCCCAACAGTGCTGCTGGGTGGGGAGCAGCACAAGGCGTGCACCACGCACCCCCTTCTGCTGAGAGCAGAGGGTGCCCAAAACCCTTCCCAAGGGGTGAGAAGCCATCCCAGAGCAGTGGGTGCTTGATGGTCACCATCCTGAGTCCTGCAGTGACTTGGGGTGGCCCTGGAGCTGGGTAGAGGGGCTTGGGGAACCCCCACCCTTGGTTTCCGGTGGGGGATACCCAGCACAAGGCGTGCACCACGCACCCCCTTCTGCTGAGAGCAGAGGGTGCCCAAAACCCTTCCCAAGGGGTGAGAAGCCATCCCAGAGCAGTGGGTGCTTGATGGTCACCATCCTGAGTCCTGCAGTGACTTGGGGTGGCCCTGGAGCTGGGTAGAGGGGCTTGGGGAACCCCCACCCTTGGTTTCCGGTGGGGGATACCCATCCCTGGGGGATCCCCT